CCTCCCAAAACCTGCACGATACACGACGGAACCACCCCGTAGCTTATGACCCAGGTCCTCACACCCGTCGCGGACCGATACGGCACCTACAAGCTCATCATGGGGGCGGCCTTATTCAAGCTGGTCGCCGGGGTGCTGATGTTCGCCTGCGGTAGGCCGGCGTGGCCGTTGTGGACGCTCCTGTTTCTAGGAAACCGCCTGGCGGCGACCGCTTGGGGCTTCTACAACCTGTCGTTCTCCGATGTGAGCGAGGAGAGGGTGCTCATAGCCGTGCATGCTGTAGTGCTTAGACCGTTGGCCACGGGTCCCTACGAAGCCGCGACGGAGCACACCTGGTTCTCACCAAACCAGCCTCGCACAAATACCAAACGCAATGGGGGGGGGGGGAGGCACCTCGTGAAATAGTGCTTGTACGCGCGGAGGCGTACTCTTACGTTTTGCATGCCTTAGCAGTTACACCATTGACCACGCGTCTTCGAGAGGACGGAGCGTTGTTCCCACAGGACCGATCACCGATGGCCAATCGTTCCTTGAGTGAGCTGGGGGGGGGGGGGGGGGTCACAGCTCTTCGTTGCAGAGCGCGGTGACCCCGCTGCCTAGGCTATCGAGCGTTCGATGCAGCCGGTCACCACCAAAGTGTCGTGGGGGGTGCGAAAAAACCATGGGGGCTCCGGGAGCGGGGGAACGGGATCGTTGGCTGAGGTTTTAGCAACGCCAACTCGTAGTGTTATGGGTCCGGTAGGGCTTTGATGAAGGGGTTCATTTGTATTTTTTTTTTCCCACTTTGCACCGTCGTTTGAGCAGATCGTTACGAGAATGATGTGCTTCGTGTTTTCATCCATCAAGCGGTATTGTTGGCGGGTAGTGCCTTGACGCGAACGCACGTGAGATAATACCTGAAGCACCCCAACCCGAGTTTGCGAATTTCGACGTTGGTCGAATTGTGCGATATGCATCGCGTTAGTTGTCGAGTGCTGTCAATCAATTCAATTCAACACGAGGTTACGTCGAATGTATCGCATGGTATCAAAAATCACAACTTTCCGTCTTCTTGTCAAACGAGAAAAGGAGGCTCTGCCACTAGAGGTGTACGTTAGTGCACTGTTATCATGCCAAGCATCTCGTCCATGGTCTTCCATTTTCAATGCCACCTTATTTTTTTTCCTCCAATACACACAACGAACCCATATCTACCCACAGATGAGCCAAGGATAACCTAGTAGCAATGAATCAATAACTGTAGCGTTCGCGGAAGCACTATTATTCCCTAAGCAGCACACTTTGTTTTTTTTTGTTCCGGAAGGTGATCGACGAAGACACCCTCCGCAACAAGAGGCCGGAGAGCATGTCGGTGTCGGTACACGGGCTACAGGCGCTCTTCGTCAAGCCGGCGCAGAGCCTGGCGCCTATGGTCGGGATGGCTTTTCTGCCCGCGGGGGCGCTGAAGACAGACCTCGTGGACATGACCATGCGGCAGGTGTGTGCCTACAAGTACATGCTATGAATACATATTTATCTGTTCTGAGTGCTGTTGGCTCGCGCAGCAGCGTGTGTGGGCGCGCTAATGTGCACGGCGTGCGTACGACCTACATAGTAGTGCGTTCGTGGTGTGTCTTTGCTTGGCAAGCAGTCCGTTTCGTGATAGCTGTGCGATGAGCAGCTGCAAGGACTGGTCGATGTTAGCCAGCGGTGCTTGGCGCCCCAGGCAGGAATCGAGAACGAGACCCTTGACCCAGGAGTGCTTCGGTGGGACCCTAGATGGGACTTGTGGGAGAAAAACTCCAAACATTTTGCCTCGACGATGATGCAACGGGGGTGAAAAGTCAATGTGTGACGTGTGAGTTTCAAGCTTGCGGTGCTGTGGGGTATGGTGAGGTACGTGAAGCACTACCGCTTGCCTCACTGAAAAATCTAGCGCCTCTTCGGTTTCGAAGACGTCGAGTTTGATGGGTTTCGTATCAGAGTGCACAAGTCGTCCGGTGTAGGGTCCACGAGTCGTCCAGCGTGTTCTGGATTCCCTTTTGTTCAGAGAAACGGACACAGCTGGCCGGTCGTCTACGTGTGTCCGCTTGCCGACACATGTTTGACATGGATACTGAAGACACAAAAGATCATGCGCCTGGGTGTTGTTTTCATCGTGCCTCTATCCGTGTGCCGCCTACCTTGCACGCAACGTGGCTTTCGTGGTGAAAAAGGCGGAAAGAGTCCAGGCGGCGGCGTTCACGCTCATGTGGGCAGTGCCAGCCGGGTGTGGACTGGTGCAGGTGGGTGGTGCCAATGGGCGAGTCGGGTTCAGTTGACGTCACGGTTGTGGCTTTCTTGGTGTCGTCGCCAACGCCGTTGAATTTTGTGTGTTTGAAAGTCTCATTGACCTTGGCTCTATCGATACACGTGACGCTTGGCACACACACACACAGAGAGAGGGACGGAACAACACAACTCCGTACGCGCCTGACATGTCCTTGTGCTTTTGTACGCTGTAGACGTCGTGCTCTTGACAAAATAATGGCGAAATCGGCCAGGTAGCATTTGTTCGTGGCAAGGCGAACCACGGGCTGTATCTGAGGAGAGGGTATTTCCAAGTGAAAACGCCCCTTTTTACCGCAGTGCTGCTGTACGTGTGGGCTCTCCCAGGTCTCACCGTTCTATTCTGGGAAGGGTGTTCAAGGGGGTGGAGGTGGATCACTCGCCGCCGCGTGGCGTGATGTCTTGTCAGAACTTATGTTTACCTTCTCTGTTTGCCATCTCCCCTCCCCTGTCTGTGAGGCATTCGGCAATCGACGGCCCGACGTGAACTATGTGATGATTACGAGGCTCTCTAGGAGTAGTCATGGGTATGGACAGGTGCCCCTCTGTTTTTCAAGGTTTGTATGCATGTGTGCTTCCCTTTCTAACTACGAGCCGTCGCTGCTGATTTCGAATCCTCATTCTTCAATTCTTCATTTCATACACTTTCCGATGCTGCCGCCCTGCTACCTCTGCCACCGCTGCCTGAACAATTTAAGGTGCTGATCTGGCGAGCCTATCGGCTGCACGGAGCGGCACTCAAGGACATGAAAATGAAATTGAAGGAGTGGGAGAGATTTTTGAGCTACAAACGTGACGATGCGACGGGCGTGGGGATGGCGTAGTAGCCGCTGCTGGCGTGCAGGACGCTCCTTGTTGATAGTCACGAGTTTTATGGTTGCTGTGTGGTCCCTGTTGTATATTGATTGGGCGTGTGTTGTGCTTTCGTTCCATCTGTTGTGGGCACCAGTCTACGCCATGCGGTGTATGCTTGAGCGGGATGCCTGGTTGCTTGGTAGCCCCGCCCACAATTCTGCATTGTCAGCACCGTGTTCATCGTAAAAGGGCGTTTTTTTGTTTTGTTTTTTTTGCTGGGTTGCACCATCTGAGGGGTTTGTTTACAGGGTGTCACGCCACCACCATGTAGACTGACCAGATACTTTTTTTATTTACCGCAGTCGCAGTTCGGATATGTAGGAGACCAGGAACTCTATTCCTCTTTTTTGGTATTTTTCTTCGTTTCGTGACACTCCTTTTCCTTCGGCCATGTGCTTACTTTCTTTCAGCGGCACAACGCCCTGCTAACTTAGCGTTTACTCGCGGTTTATCCACACGGTCGGGCGGAGGGCGAGCCTAGACGTCGCGCAGCCCACATTTCGGCGTGGCAAACGAGGGAAAGACCAAGAAACCGCCAAGTGTACCGTAGCATGCGGGCGGGTCATCAACAGCGAGGCTCTTTGATACGCTTCATGACGAGTCCGTGTCAGGCTTGTGCACATGGCATGTGGTGTTTCTGGTGGAAACGTGTTGGCACGGTTCGCTTCGTATCAACACGTGATGCATGGGATACAAAAAAAATACTTAGAATATCAGAATATCACATAATAATGAGCCGCGGAGCGAGCGAAGCGAGCGACATTTTTTCCCTTCGTCCCCAAGAGGGCAAAAAAAGGCTCTACATATCGGCCAAAGTTGCGCCGCGCGATACAGGGCCCCCAAAACTTGGTTTCCGGGAAGCCTATTTAGCACATCTTTGGGACCAGAACGAGATCTATAGGGCACCGATTGAAGATCTGCTCGCTTCTGAGGAAGAAGAAAAATAGCGCGCTCTTCTCCACACCGGTTTCGTCGTGCTCCGAGAGCAGATGGCCGTGCTTCACCGGCATATGTAGCCTATATTCGTACGAGATTTTGCTCCCCAACCCCGAGGTTTCTACGCGAAAAGGCGTGCACAAAAGCGGAGATCGCGCGCGCGCGCGATTCAGACCAGGACAAGAAGCACCAACAGAGACGCAAGAACACCACCACCATCAAACGCATCACCGCTGAGACGCTGGTCTGAGACCAGCAATGAAAACCAGGAGGGGCCGGGCCCATACGACCTGTGCACCGTGGGTATACTGTAGGCATGCGCCATGTGTAACCTGACGGGTATTTATTGATGTTGAGTGCGTCCAACCAACTCCTTCAAAAAGAGCAGACCGATGATCACACAAATAACATTGGTGACGTTATCGGTCGACCAGGGATGATTGGCCAATCAGAACTCTAAATCTCCATAAAGAAAAATGGGCATCTTTATCTCTATATCTCTCTGCATGGCAATGAACGAAGTTTTCGACACCTTGGGGCGATTAACAACTTTTGGACCAGTCTAGCGCTTCCTCTCCCAGAGGTTACCATGATCGGTCGTTGTCTGGCGGCCATCTAGTGTGAAACGTGGTTACCAATGACTGACTCCAGCACGGACAGGTGAGGTTATCATATTTTATCTTCTGTGGTTGTCCCAGCGGCCGCATATTCTTAGAGTCGTCAGTGACAGCAGAAGATCTGGCGGCAGCTTCCAAAGACGAAGGGCGTCGTCCAGTCAAACCTGAGCGGCTGGCTACTGAAGTTGCCAAGAACACTGCGGATTCCTCGTCGATGCCGCCCAACACAGGTGTGGGGTGTGGGTGTTCGTTATTCTTCATCTGGTGCAGTATCGATCGCCAGCTGGCTGACCAATGAAGAGGCGTCGCCCGTCTTTTATGTGCGCGTTTCGTCCCATTGACACCCGTCTGTTTTTGTTTTCCGGGTGCATCAGCTGGGATCACACAGCAGGAGGAGGGACACATGTTGGTTGTTTATTTTCTGTATTTTTTCTGCGGTCCTTGCCTTGACGGCCATCGCGAGAAGAATTCCGTCGTCCCTTCCCTCGTTGAGACTTTTTATTGCTTACAACGATATATTCGTTTTCCACGTTGTTTGGGGGCATAATATACGCCTCGCTTCAACCAAAAACTAGAAAGAGCAAAACTGAAGTACGTCGTACTCGCTGATCATGCTATGTGGCTGACTCGGAGCGGAGAGTTGATCGATAAAGACTAAATATACCACAATTCGGACTACTACTCAGCTCTGACTAAGATAGTATGTGGACTACAGCCCCCTGCTCTATCAGGGGAACATCGTCCGGATTCGTCGTCAGTGTTCGAATGCGTTTGTCTGCTCGAAATGTTCTTGTTGTACATGAACAAGAGTCGTGATAATGATACGAAAAAAAACGAGACAATTTCCGAAAAAGCACTTCTTCTGGCGACGCCATACCGAAACGGTTGCACGCAAGAACACTAAATACAGACCTAACTCGTCTACAAATGTACTGGAGTCACCACCTTGTACCTTCAAGGTGGCACAGAGTTAGCACCTTGTGCCTTCAAGTTTGCACAAAGTACATTCCTTGTGCTGGTAAGGTTGCACGATGTACTGTAGGTGCGTTGTACGGTCGGGATAAAATGTACTGTAGGGAGATTACCTTGCACAATGCACAGCAGTCGTTGTACAGCAGTACACACACGCTTACATATATACAGTTGCGCGGTCGAGCTATTAGTCTACATAATAAAAATGACTGGATGATCCAGTGTGTCCCATTGGTCCACCTGTGGCTTCCCAGTTTATTGCAGTAACAATCTGGGATCGAGCGCACCATTAATACCTTTTGCCGACAACTTTCGGAGTTGACCGCACACAAAAGCGGGAGCCTCCTACGGATCAATAAGCTGTCATGCATAGTTCGTTCACTGCTGTGTGAGTCCTTGTGTGTGCTATCGGAAATCCGAAGCTACGCATGTCACCGTGCGAAGTGGCAGTTTCTTTCGTTACATATCGTACAATCATTTGGATGTTGCTGATGATGATCCGCTGCCTCGCAGTCCGCTGGTTCTCGGCAGCGCTCGATTCGGGTCTGAAGGCGCAGAGAGTTGGAGGTGTGATGACGCTGTCTGCAGCGACGACACCGTCCACGCGGTCCCGCCGTCACTGCTGTGCGAACCAAAATTCCTGGTACTGTATATGTTAAAACCCGGGGATGATCCCCTACTATCCCCGGATGTCAAACACAACAATTCACGACCACATGCGGTAAGTTACCGTCTCCCCCCAACACACACTTGCACGATAGACACAGCTCCCAACACGCTGGCCTTCCGTAGCTATGGGTTTCTTCGGAATGGTGCTTAAGCCTGGGCAGAAGGAGACCGTCGAGGTCCCCCCCGGCTGGTGTCTCCAGCTTTGCACGGCAGCTCTTGAGCCAGCGAAAGCAGGCGTGAAGGTACACGTGATGGCTACTGCTGTACCACTGCTGTTGTGCGGCGGAGCTGTAGACGACACCCACACCACACCCTTACATGTTGTTTGAATACTTAGCTGCCTGTGTTTGAGGTGAATGGCTGTCGAGCCTGATTTCGACTCCTGTGTATGTGGGCGGTGCTGAAGAGACGCAGAACTAAAAAAAAAAACACTCGCGCTGACTCTTTTTTGCTCGGTGGTCGACGCTCCGCTTGACGCCACACCTCACAAGCAGGTCGACGACACCGTATTCCCCCCATGCACATTCGTGACGAGAGCGCTTGTGTGGTTGAACCACAACATAGTTTAGCCATCATGTAGTACACTATAAAGCGCCGAGACTAACATTGACTATGCGTGTGTTGTCGTCCCATGGTAAGTGGTTCGTACAGCAGTAGACTGCACGTAGTATAGGTTGCATGAAATATCACACACCCTGGGCCGATTGTCAGGGCGTGATTGCTCGGCAAGGAAAGCAGTGACGGTGTCGAAAATGGCGGAGTTTGAACCGTCCCGTCGAGGGCTTTCCGAACACGTATCGTTTGCCTCCGGCACCCTCTTGGTCGTGGAGTATTCGAGCTTTGAAAAATCGGTCCTGGGGGTGTGGTATCTTACGCAACCTACGGTATGCTGTTGATGTGTTGGGACTCGTTTGAATTGTTGCCTAAGGACTCCAACCAATGATCATTAGTCGCCTGTAGGCTTAAACCTAAGAATCGCCCTGTACGTGTTTATTTGTTATCTTCTTGTTTCTCCCACCGTGACATCTTTTACCGACGATGCTTCAGCCCCGAGATGTGTCGGCGACTTTGTGGGTCCAGGCCGAGGACAGCGAGATCGGTGACAACTCGTACCTGCTTGGCAGCCTCCAGGTGAGGCGGACGGTCCATCGATGTGGGTTGGCCACCCAGTTTTTCCTTTTGGTCGAGTCGTGGGTGGGTTGGAGAAGGGAAGATCCATCTACATCAGCAGGAGTCTGCCTGTGTGGCACACATATTTTCTTGGCCGGCGGTCTTAAGTCTGACCGCTCGGGTGATTTCTGACCGGTGGCCTGGTTCTTGTTGACTGCTCCGACACGGGTTGCGCCAAAGGTGCGATGAGATGTCGCGCCTCTCTCTCTCTCTCTCTCTCTCTCTCTCTCTCTCTCTCTCTCTCTCTCTCTCTCTCGCTGGCTCTCTCTCTCTCTCTGTGCGGAACCGCGTCGACACAATGCTCCGTCCTGTCGAGGACGAGTGGTCTAACTGCTCAAGGCATCACAAACACGAGTACGCCCCGCCCCCACATCTAAGCTTGCGACGACACTGCAAGTATGTAGATGTGGTGGTGAAATATTGAGCAACCGGCCCCCGATTTTCCCGCCCCCCCTTCCTCTGACCGACCGTCCGTTCGACCTCCGTCTGTGTGTCATGCTAAGGGTGGCGGACCCTGCGCTCAAATCCCAGTGGGGCACTGCCTGACAAGCGTAGACGGGGAAATCATCATGGAGGTAAGGCGTACTGTAGCGCGATGAGTACGATTGTACGGTGCGCACCGAGGTTTTGGGCACCGTTGGTGACACAAGATATCACACCCCCTGGACCGATTTTCAAAAGCTCGAAAACTTGACGACGAAAATAATAGGTACATATCAAACGACACGTTGTGGGATTGCCCTGGACGAGACGGTTCTAATGACGCCGCCAGTCTTTCTGCCGTGGAGCAAACGAGCTTTTAAAAATCACTTCCAAGGGGTTTTGATTTCTTGTGTCACCTAGGGTAGAACCCTGGGATACCTGACGGTCAAGTTCCACCGTAGGCAAGGAGGCCGCGCTTTTACGCAGTCGGGTGGCTCGGTGGATGCCTATTTAGGACACCGTTGGCGGTGGTGGATCCTTGATATTCATTGGATTCTCTCTCGATGGTGGGATCCGGCTGCTACCTTTTTCGTGCTGCTCGCGGCAACCCTCTCCCGTTTGGCGACAGCGTGATGTTTTCGCGACAACTGTACATGTGCACAGCACAGGTCGTAGGTGTACGGGACGAAGGTTTGACCTGTTGTTTCTTTTGTCTCCCCTGAAAAAGTTAAGCTTACCCCATGGCCTTGTCCGTTCCGGCAATGACCTTGCGGCCACCTTTTGTTGTTTTCGCAGCAGCGATAGCATGTGCTTGACGAGGCATTCCACGGAGCCCCCACCCTCGTCTCTGCCCTTCCTCCGCCGCCGCAGGCACCCCTTGATACCTGATGGGGCGAACGCGCCTCAAGAGTGTTCGCGAGTCTGAAGCAGCCATCCACAAACACTGACGTTATTTTGAATGGTCAGCCGTTTCGAGTGGCCAATGCCAACGAAAGAACCACACACACACACACACAACCTACGCTCTCTTATCAGGAAACCTTGCCGCGCTAGGTACCATGCCCTCTGCGGCCGGTACAGCGCCCGCTTTCTTCACCCGGTAGGCTGTTACCCGACACGCTCGTCCGCCTTCGTTTCCGATGTGATTGTGTGATTAGAGGATTTGCACAGCAGTTGCTGCTGCTCGTGTCCCTCAAGAAACAAGGAGGTTGCTGCTGGGGTAGGGAACGAGATTCGGTCGTGTTTTTTTCTTTTTCTTTTTCCTCAGCGAGAGAGCACAACCCCCCGACAGATATCGTCCATGCGAAGGAAGGCTGGCGAGATGATTTTTTTTTGCCGTGACGCGGGCATTTTTGTTCGTCTCTTCTCCTGTTGGTGTATCTTTATCTGTTGGCGAGGCATGCTTCGGCGGTGACTGGGAAGCCCAAGGCGTACGCCCGTACGCTGGCGCCCTCCTCCCTCAACGCTCGTTAGACCGTCCCACGCACGGAGAATAGCTTCTACTGCAACAGATGAATATCCCGAGATCTAGTAGTGTCAAGTTCGACTAAGGAATGGGACCCGTTGTATGTGTCCATGTTTTTTTATCAGGCGAAGGGCGGGGGTACTATCCACCTCACGGGCTTCTTCAACAGGGAATACGACCCAGATGCTGAGAACGGTAAGAACGTCAACAACACGAGCAACGATAAACCTCAGCTTCGAAGCGGGCTCCGACTCTGAGTGACCACGTCTGGCAATACCTCGCCTCGCTCTCCTTTCATTGCCCTTGAGCGAGTCGCGGTAGCAGCTTCTCAAGGACAGGTTACCTGAGAGGGTGGATACACCAGTACAGAAACACAACGGTCTTGTCATTTTTCCAGTAGAGCTTTTTCATGGCAGAGATACGCCAGTACAAGGCAACAGGAATTGTCTTGGCCCTGTCGTTTTGCGCCCGTACCCCAAAGCGCTGCTTGTCATAGACCGAAGTTGGGTCGTCGGATGACTCGCGTCAGCTGCGACGACGACAATTTTCAGGCTACATCTCGTGAAGAAACGTATGCGGATTTCACGGGAGGTCCCCTGGCTCGACTGGGCGGTGAACGGGTTCGTGCCACTGCTTTGTTGTTGTTGCTGCTGCTGCTGCTGCTGCTGCTGTCGTCGTCTTTGCTGCTGATGCCGCCGTGGTGGTGGCGGTGACGTTCTAGTTGTGATCGGGTTGGATGCCGAACTTGTGCTACAGCGTTATCGAACTTGTGCGACCCGTAACTTGGTGTTGGGTGCGCAGACGACGACTCTAGCGAGGAGGAATCGTCCGAGGAAGGTTCCGAGGAAGGTTCCAATGCCGAGCTGCGCTCAAAGCTGGCCTTGCTCCTGGCAGACGCGGAGGCGGAGGATGGTGACGATGACGATGACGAGGATGACGAAGAAGAAGATAATGACAGCGGTAGACAATCCTCGAAGTGGGCAGGGCGCCGCGTACGGCCAGCGGTGAGTTATTGTTGTTGTTGTTATCGTCGTTGTCGTTGTCTTCACATTAGAAACAGTTCCGGTCTCTGCTCAGTACCTTCTAATGTCCGTACAATACAATAGTGGTCCGACTGACGCGGACGCTGGTCGTGAGTCCAAACACGATAAACCGCGCGTATGGAGATTTTGTGGGCCAAGGGGGGGAAGGGGCGGAACCCACAAACTGTGCTACCACAGCCCACACTTACGACCAATGCCGCGACGTTGTCGTGAAATCGCTGGTGGTGGCCATGTTGATGACATCGGCGCTGTTGGTTCTAGGTGGTACGGCATCGGTGTCGGCGCTAGCGGGTAACGTAGTTCCGGGAATACACCGGGCAGAAGGCGTCCGCTCAGCCGCACCAGGGCCTAAGAGCCTGCAGCAATCTCTAGCCGAACTCTAACATCAGCCACAGGCGGAAACGAAGCTGGAAACGTCAGCGTGCTCTTCGATTCCCAGAAGAAAGACGTAGTCTTGTCTTATCAGCCGCGCAAGTGGCCGCGGTGGCTGCGTTGGCTCTCGATGCCGCGGTTGACTGAAAGCGTTGATACAGCTTTTCGTGCACCCGGAGGCTCTGGCCTTGTGCTCGGGCTGCTGTGACCTGGCTGTCGCGACCAAGCCGGTGGGTGTGCAGCAGTGCTGAAGCCCGACCGTCCGTGATCTCACAGGCGGCTGCAGCAGCCTTGGTGTGCGGCACGGGGGACGGAGATGACTCTGAGGATGACTCGGAAGTTGATGGCGAGTATGTTCCTGGAGACGAGGATGATGATGACATGGATGCCGATGGTGATGATGGTGACAGTGATGATGACGATGAGGAGGAAGAGGAAGAGGTAAAGGGAGAGAAGGAGGAGGAAGAGGGGTAGGGAGAGGAAGGGTAAATGGGGAGGAGAAGCAGAAAGAGGTAGGGAGAGAAGAGGAAGAGGTAAAGGGAGAGCAGGAGAAAGAAGCGGGAGTAGGAGGTGTTGGGCGAGAAGAGGTAAAGGGAGAGGAGAGAAAGCAGAGGGCAGAAAAAAAGGATAGGTAGAGGAGGAGAAGCAGGAACAGGAAGAAGAGGAGAAAGCAGGGGCTGGAAAAGGGGTAGGGAGAGAAGTAGAGCAGCAGGTTGCGGGAAAGGTACTGTGGAGCTGTACGAATGAGCGAGGCGTTTCTTCCATTGGCCGGGTGGTTGGTGATGCCAAGCGGCGTTGCTTGGCTCTCCTCCATCCCCATCGAGCATCCCGTTCATTCGATTCCCCGCTCCCGCCGTACTGCGTGTCCTACAGGAAGACGACGACAAGAAGAAGAACGGCAAGAAGAGGCCCGCGAGCGCCAGTGGGAAAGCTCCTGCCTCTTCCCCGCCTGCAGCCTCTGCGTCGCCGTCGAGCCAACAGAGGCCGCCCAAAAAGTCCAAGAAATCGACGGAGGCGGCGGCGGCGGTGGGCGAGGGCGGAGCTGTGGCATCTACGGAGGGAGGAGATGAAGACAAGACTCCGGAGATGACCAAGCAGGAGAGAAAGCGGCAGCGCAAGAGGGAGAACAAAAGGTTGGTTGTGTGCTTCTTATCCTTAACCTTGTGGTTTTGGCCTCTTATTTGGTTTTGGTTTTGCGATGGCTCCGGTTGTTTGTCTGCCTGGGTTGCTGGTGTTAGTGTATTTTTTTCAGGTGTTTTGTGTTGGGAAGACTTGTTTCGCTTATGACGCGTTTGTTTGGGATTTGATAAAGTTTTCCGGTTCCTCTAGGCACCTTCCACGAATCCACTCGATCCGTTGTGGAAGGCTGCCCCCCCCCCTGTCCTATTTGCGGAACCCCCAGTTGCTTCCGTCCCTGGCCTGCTTTGATGGGTCCCGAGTTGCGAAGAGGACCCACGACATTTCGCAACACCCATGCGCTGACATTAATTTCGTGCGCCCACCTCCGCGGTGCCCCCACCCCTTGTCCTTTGTTTATTTGATTTCTTGGGGGGGGGGGGGATCTGCAAACAGGAAAGCGATGGAGGCGAAGAAGGGCCTGGAGGAGGCGTTTCGTGCGATGGACCCCGAGGACGGGGGCGAGCCGCCCAGTTGGGGTCCCTCTCAAGAA